GAATTTTATCCTAATTCAGAAATAGCTTACGTTCTGTTATTTTTAACAGAAATATGCCAATTACTGATGTCTTTTCCTGACAATTTCAGAGTCAGTTTCAGGCACTCGGTCTCTCTTGAATCAGATCATTACATAGCACTTCAGACAAATGAACACAGTATTTGCTGCAGTATGTGATTTCTATAGTTAATCTTCAACATAAATAAAATCTCAGTTTCACAATGGCATCTATGTTTCTCAGCATTCTTGAAGTTAGATTTATCAGTTTTATATGGCAAAAAAATTGTTACAAGCTGTGGTGTAACATAGGTAAAGGATTGCACAAAGAAAACAACAACATAAACCCTAACAGGAGAAATAAACTCGTCCTGCATTAGATTATCTTAGTAAAGTTATTAGATAAAACCTTGATAAAGTCATGGGGAATGGATCTGTTAAAATACAACTTAATAAGTTTGAAATATAAGGGATGTAAAATAAGTACTGTTGTTTTTATTGTCAGTGATTCAGATTTTATTTTGATTTCTCTGTTAGAACTAAGACTTCCTCTACTTCTAATTTAAAATATTATTATAGTAGAAATTTCACTGAATCAGAGAAGCATGAAATAGCCATTTTCAAGCCATGTGGTGATGACAATAATAATAAAAGATGTGTTATTTTCTAGGAGTCTACTTTCTATTCAGGTACTTAATTTTAGTTAAAATGCAAGACAGCTTATGACTTTCTAAAGAGAACCTTGAAGTTAATTTGGATGATGTAATTAAATAAAGGAAAACTGGATAAAACTGGATTTCTTTGGGTTAAACAAATGATAAGCTTCATTTTGTGCAGCCAATAATTCTCTTTCTTAAAGACCACTGCTCTTTAAGACCACTTGTAGGTGTATCTGTCAAGGAAAGACAGTGGAGAACTGTTTTAAGCGTATTTATGAAGTGTTTAAGTGTTTATGGGAGTTGAATAGCTGCATTATGTTCTGTTAGTTATGGCACAAGACCAAAAACTTCATATATAAGCTCTAGTTACTCCTAGTATTTCTTGCTGCGTGCAGTAACGATGTTAACAATACTTAGTGCTTTGCATTACAAATTTCCAATGATACATGCACATCTCCGATATGTAGGGTTTTTCCAGGAAGGAAGGAATGTGTTGATCAAAATAAGAATTAGCTTGGGTCTGTAGCCTCCAAAAGTTCAGATTTGGAGACACTGAATTTTGACTTTGATTATCTCATCTACCTCTTCATTTTTGTATCAAACTCTGCAGCCTTTTTTAATCCTGAGTAAGTTTCAATCGGGATGTTATTCAAAGATGAGTACCAGCAAGGTGTGTATTTCAAGCGTTTATAGTTCCAGTAGAATTTTGAGAACTGAGGAGAAAAGCAGAAGAGCTTTTTAGGTGCTTATAATTCTTGTAAACCTTTCAATATGCATTTCTAAACTCAGCTGGACTTTCCATTATTTTTGGAAATTTGTTTATTATCACTAGTAAGTTCCACTAGTTATTTTTACGTTGAGTCATCCTTTCCTTATATCTGTCTAGATGTTCCTTTCTTTGTGTGTGTGCTGTGCTCATCTACAGCAGACTACTGGATCTTAGAACCCTTGGCAGTAATTGAGACTTCAGCAGAGACATAAAAGAGCTGTACTAGGAAATTATGTACACAATTTGCATATGTGTTTCTTATAGCTACATGCTGTGCTGTGGCCGTGGTGTCCACAGATGACCAACTGAATGTATTTGAAATGAAAAACCAAGTCCTGTGCAGCCTTACTCTGAAGAGAGTTTTGGTAAACTAGACTAGTGGAAATTTTCTCAATATTTTTTAATCTTGCACCCCAGCGTGCTAAATTTTCAAACCAAGGCATTGCTTCTCAAGTGACCGTCCTAATGATACATTTGTATTGCAAGATTCAAGGTAGGTCTTTTTAAACTGTGCATCACAATAAATACAGGTGATGAATGATGATTTGGTTAGTTCCTTAGAGAGAGAGTCTCTAACTTTACACTATTCTATGACTTTGCATAAAATAATGGATTGGAACTTAAGCAATCAGTCTTACTGTCTACCTGGTACATGGAAGAAGACTCAGTCTCCCTTAATTCTGTTGACTGGGTGGTTCATTGGGAAAAAAACCCAAACCAAACAAAAAAACCGCCCAGTAATTAAAACTCAGTTTTGTCACTAGTTTAGAAAGAACTGACTCTCTGTTCGTACAAATGAGGAAAAGTTCTGAACATTGAATACTAATCAGTATGAAGGCCAACTGTATGAAGGACAGTTGCCCATGCAAACATAACAGTTTGTGCACTCTGTGGATCGGAGCGGATCCACTTCAATCACTTTCTACTTTTAGTTCAAGGATACTGGACATTGCTAACAGTGATAGATTTAAACTTGAGAGACGTCCTCTGCGTACACGTTTTACCACTGAGAAGTTTGCAGACATGAAAAGTATGAAAATGGACAGATTAAACTATTTTATGTTGACAGTGTTTTCATCCATGAGCGAAATCTGGATTTGCTTAGTGAGAATTCATTAATTTGTTTGAATAGGTATGCTAGGGTGATTTTTATTTACAGGGAAAACACTTAGCATAAAGTGAAATTTCATCGAAAAGTTTGCAATGACAGAATAATGCAATGTATTCAGTGTGGTGGGCAGTACAAGCAGTAGATAAAATTCCCTCTCCATCTCTCTCTTTCTCAACAATAAATTTCATCATAGTCACAAGAACCCTAAGGCAGTGGATATCCCCTTGCTTGGAGATTTCCAAACCAGTTGGGTCTCTCTTGTGTTTAGTAAATTATTTTTTTTAAATTAATTCTCATCAAGCTTCTAATTATAATTTCTTCAAATTTAATGTTTGTATTTCTGATGAAAGACAAACATTTTGGGGGCAGTCACAAGGGATATAAATAATTTCTTTAGAAGCTTATCTAATTAATTACATTTCTCTGTAATGTCTTTAAAATTTGAACTGCCATCATTTCATTAATTTAGATAAAAGTAAATCTTTAGTGTTTAAATATGACACTAGTGTTGAGAATTCTGATAACCTCAAGATTCATTGTCTGTATTTTTATCAAGTTAAGGTAAAAAAAAGTGTTTAAAATGTTTGGGATTCATGATTTGCATGTTAACTTTTATTTCAAATATGTTATTATTTCATGGCATAAGTGTTCACCTCACCTGTTAATAACTGAGATCATATGATGCAAAATGGACATAAATATTACCCTTACAATATTTTGGTGGGGATTTCTTTTTTTTCTGTAACATGTTTCTTTCTGAACTAAAACTTTTGACTCCTTCAAATGGGAAGCATTTAAAGTCTGATGTCTAGTAATCTTCCATATCCTATAAAGGTGGAATTTTAATATTTCAGGCTATCCAGCAAACATAAAGCCTTTGTTTATAGCACTAGAGATTTGGTGCTAGCCTGGTTTTGTGTCTTTTTGAAATAGTTATTTTTATGCTATTTCAAAGTAATGTTAGTAAAGCAATTGAAATTTACACATTTAGATTTATAGGTGGAGCCTCAAAAATTATGGCTGTCTTTAGCATACAAGGAAAAAAAAAGGAATCAAGAGGTAGGGTTTGATTAGGTCACAACACAATTAACTTTGGTGAAAACCGCAAAAAATACAGTGTATATAGTGATTCTTCCTTTAATCATCTTTACCACTTGGAGGGCTGCCACCAGTTGCTACCTGCCCACTGGTGGAGCCTGACGTACTTCTACTTCGTAGACATTTGTTATGAGAGGTAAATTGAATACCGGGCAATAGGAACTTCTGTCCTGCCTTCCCCTAAGCCAGTTCTGTATTGCCAGAGAGCAGAACCCATATGGACTGGTGACAGCTGCTAAGCTGTCACAACAACTGTGAGTAAGTTGATACCCTGACTTACGGTAGCAGCTTTTTTCTTGCCTGCAGTAATAATTTAGGCAAAAGCACGTAGTTCAATTACAAGTCAGACCCAGAGTTTAACTCGCACAGCGTGCAGTTCTTCCAACCGTTGTTGACATAAACAAGATAGAATACTATGGTTGTAAAATAATACTCATTAAGAGATGGATTTTGAAACTAGTATTTGAGTTACTTGTAGAGGTATGCATGTGCTATAGAACAGTGTTTTAAACTCTTCAGCTGGTCACCTCAGTTTAAACAGAATTCATGTTTTTTCTTTTTGGGAAAAATAATCTAAAATATTTATAAATAGTCTCTTAAAATAAATTAGTTATACTGAATTGAAGGAAAGACACTAGAAACTGACAGTGAAATCTATTCAAAGTAGAATGCGAACTGTTGGTTTAGCTTTTCTTCCCTCACAGCTTAACAAGGTTATTCTACTCTTTACAGTGATAAACAATTTTATGCAAAATAGCTTTATATTATAAGTAATGAGGCTTTATTTCAGTGAAGAAAGAAGTTCACAGGTCATATTTTTGGCCAGTGGCAGATGAATCAAAGTGCTTTAATAGTCCAGAGTACTATCTAGTTTTGCCTATGTCAATCTACCATCTATCTTTCTCACAATGTGGGTCTCCACATTAATCGTATTTGTAATGAAGAAATAATAGATGTGCAGTCAGAACAACTAATAGAGTAAAATGCTCTATGCTCTGCCAAAGATAAACAAAGAAATAAATCTATGTTGTTTACAGCCTTCCCTTTTCCATGTATAATGGACTTTATCAATAAAACAATACAAACTTCATCAAGGAAAAATCTTACCAATTTAATCCAAGAAAGGTCTTCATTGAGCTAATCTCCAACAAACGCTGTTTGCAATAGGGACCTATTTATTCTTTTCAACCATAAAATACTGGCCATCCTTCTTTATCTCGTGCTCCAACTCTACGATCCATTATGGATAAGACAACCCAATTAAGCAAGGACAGAAGACAGGAGGAGTATGGTTACTATGTAAGCATTTACGTATCAGTCCCAAAGTAAATATGCTTACCTCTTATGCTTTGATTTCTTTTCTTAGGGAACCACAGTCAAGTGTCCAGGGTGCCTGTTGCTATCAAAGTTCTTGATGTAAATGACAACGCTCCTGAGTTTGCATCAGAGCATGAAGCCTTTTTATGTGAGAATGGGAAGCCTGGACAAGTAAGTATCTCCATGTTTTTATGTTGTATACTTTGGTGTGTGACAATGTGGTGCAGTTTCTCCCTGTCATCTTATCTTTATTCCCAAAATATGTGCCTATGTGTTCATGCTAACAACTCTTAACATTCATTTAAGATAAACCTATGATCGTATTCTCTGATACATCTCTCTATATATGGACATATATATTTTTTGCAGTATAGGTTTTAAATTAAAGATAGGTATCTTGGGACAATATCCAGAAAAAATGCTGACTGTCTTTAAGCTCCCGCTGTTTCCTCTCTGTTTGATGGAGCTCATCGTTTCATAGGTTCATGTGTTTATAGGCAAAAGTATCATCCAACCTGCATTCCAGTTCGGTTATTGAACTATATTGCAGCTGGTGCCAGGTATAATTTAGAAGAAACGCTTAAAACAATAAAACCATTTCCCCTTACCCATATCTCAGTTATAATCTCTATCTATTTAGTTCTTACTTTTCTATGACAATTGGGAAAAAACAAGAAAGCAAACCAGAACTTGATGGAAAGGCAAGTAAATTGTAACTGCATGTAAAATATCTAAAGAGGGATGGGGTGTTGGAGAAGTGGAGTTCAAGTTTTTATTATACTTCACAAAAAAAAAAGAAAAGAAAAAGACTTAACAGGTTATTTGCTTCTTGATTTAATGAAATAAAAGGGTTGGCAAAGGAATTTACACAACACTTTACAAGGTGAAATAAACATAGGAAGATATCAGAAGCAACATTTAACCTGTATAGCCTTTTTCAAAGAAAATGAAACAGATTTCTTAAAAGGCATTAATTTTGAAGGACAAATGTACAGAAATCGGGAAGAATATCTCATGCCACATAAATAACAAGAATAAAGATTCAAGAAAATGTACAGACTTTTAGAAAGTAATGCAGTGTAAATGAGATTTAACTTTTGTCCAGCTTGAGAAACACTGTATCTTACAACAATTCACTGTTTTTAAACTTTCTAATTTATTTCTAGATTGTGACATTTTATTTAAGTAAACAGCAGCTGACAGCATGACACTAGTCTTGTTAATCCAACTATTCCTGTGTTTCATGTGGGTGTTAGGTATTAAATTCACTATTCTCCAAAGAAGGTTACCTGACAATAGAGCTAGAAATTATTTTCTTTTAGTAGTATTAAATGACAGCCTATACAGTAGTATATGACAACCTATCTCTGCTAAGACTGGATTGTTACAGAAGATGATTTGACTTCTAGCACCCCTTTTTGTTTATTAAAAAGGTGTCAAAAATGTGCCATTTAAGAAATGAGAATTCTCTCTAACCACTGAAAAGCAGATTATTGAAATGTGGCCTTATGGGCAGACAGTTATGTTGCTGGTGGTATTTAAGTTCTTCTAGCTCAGAGTGGATTTCTGTTTAGCTCAGGGTGGATTTCAGATGCTGAGTAGTTATGTTTTCTAGGATATATTAAATCCTAATGAGTATACCTTTATCCAGGGTTCAGTAAGCTTCCCTGAAATCAGAAAGCTGTGTTGCACAGTGTTTTCTGAATATATTTATCTAGGTATTCCTATCAAATTTCAGGTGGTTTAAGAGATGGTGAAAAATGTTCGTATTTCATTTTGGAATAAAACAATAAATGAGATGGTTAAGAGTCAGCTGGTAAAAGAGGCTTTTGTTTAAGTACTTACGGAAAACTTTCATTAAACCATGATATTCTTCATCTTACCATCACCTTTTACGCTCTTGATCTGATGGCAGATGTCACTCTTGAGCATGAATCCTTGTGTGAACTTTACAGATGGTTATTAAATATTTAGCTGCCAGCATGGATGAGGTGATGATCCTGCAATTTATTCTGTGTTTTAAACAAATATCCAGAATAATCACCAAGTTTAGGTTCTAAATTTAAGTCGTCATTCAAAAATTATCTGCTCCTGTAAAGACTGTAGTATCTACACTACCTGATTGGTTTTTATTATGCTTATTATTCTATATTCAGATTTTGAAAGAAATCAAATTAATCAGTCAAGATGCAGAATTCAAAAAATTAAATATGTCTCAGTTATGAAATAGCTAATACGAGAAACACACTACTCTCTTACATAGTAGCAAAAGCCTAATTCAGATAGTTCTCCAAAGTTTAAACTTAAATGTTACATGTGCAGGAAAGATGCAATTGTGTTATGGTATTCCAGTCTATTTACATTTGCAGTTCAACTTAAATCTAAGTTTAAATCAAATTTGAATTACCATAAGGGAGATTACATTTGAACCTTTTATGAAACCTTATTTGCAGACCCTAAATATATTGAACCATGTATTCAAGTTCAGTTTCTAAGTGTTCTATTTTGGGTTCTGATATAATTGCAAGTGGCAAGTGCAGCTGCTGGTGATGTGACAGAATGTATTAAAAACTGTTGATGTATAACATTGTAGATGCATTTTCTTTGCTTTAACCTACCTCTAACAGTAGAGGTACTACAGCTAGTAGGAGAGGAAAGGGAGAGGAGGAGGAAATGTATTTGTCCATGCACATATTTATGTGCTCCTTGCACATTTTTACACACAACAGAAAGTTGCCAGAAATGTTTTTGTCAGTTGG